ATTGTACCATCATGCTCTAGTTAGATATAGGGTTAAAATGCTACTTTGGGATCTTGCTACTGGAAATATCGTTTCAAGAGCTTAACTTCTCACATCAAAAGTTTGTTCATTCATATGCATTTCACGCTATTATTTCCAGTTTATTCTGTCTAGTGGTTCTGCCTCGTCAAAACTTTTCGTTGTTTTCACGTGAGTTGGGCACACACTTTAAGACAACCCACGTGGGCCATCTAAAAACTTTTTCTCGAAAATGGTTTTTCAACCCTAGATCTTTCCAGATTGATTTTGCACATGACACGTGGCTTTTATGGTCCTCTTTTTTGTCTAAACATCAAGCCCTCTTTAAAAGCTAATCTAGGGTTCATTTGTTTTGGGGTTTGAGATTGGAAAATTTTTGAAAGCTTTATTTTTCATCTCCATCTCAGATCTCCTAGGAGCATTAAACATATTTTATGAGTAATGTTCTTCATTGAATATTTCTAAACCTATCTTTGAAATTGCTTGCTTAATTCGTTTTATATGCTCATTTGTTTTGGCTAGAGTTTTACATTTTCAGAAAAGAGTTGTTTTAGCTGTGAGTTGCCTCTTTGAGTTCCTCATCAGAAACCCTAGCCAAAAAATCACACTCATGCATTAAACACCCAAATTGTTGCATATTAGGTAGCATGGTCATTGTGATTTTGTTTTAAGTTTGTGGTCAAGTTTTTCAAGTTTCAAATCTTTTAACAGACCTCTTTTTGGATTCGCGTCAGTTTCATCTTTCAAATGTTTGACTGGTGAAACTGACTAGACATCGAATCTAGATTTGCATCAACTTCATTATAACATAATTTGTATAAGTTGATTTGATTTCGGTGCCATAGGGTGAAGAGCTCAGGAAGAGCTACCACTTCGTGAAGACCAAAGGAATCCATCACATGACAGGTAAGGTTGTACAAAGGTACAAGCTGCTTTGTAGATTACGATCTCGGAATTGAGCTTGTGTGGTTACTTTGTAAGAATATTGATTTCACTAGTGGATTGGACTCAGTGGAGAGTCCTCGGTTTTTTTTTAACCCAAATGTGGGTTTTTTTGGGCCAAAAACTTCTTGCGTTTTTTGTCTCTTAAGCTTGTCCACATATCTTATTTACTTTCATATGTTTCATGCATCCTATGAATTGTTATTTGATATGTGTTAGAGACTAAGTTTACACTGCATATTATGAGCAATGAATTGATTTGTTGTTGACTAAGATAACTTGTAGTGAACTAAGTTTGATCCATAGATTTGCGTTTGATTAACTGACGAGTCTGTACTTAGTTGATTGGTGAGCTTAACTAGTCAATCCAACATACTTTAATTCATAGTTGCTTTGTTATTGCTATTTGCATAATGACCCTGATATATAAATGTGTTCAAGCTTAGGAAATTGTTGTGAAACTAATCTGGGCAAACTCTGATTAGTTGAACGTACTGGTCAGTTAGGTTTTGTTCTTACAACTGCACTTTATATCACTAACTAACTCGTAACTAATTGACTAGCTCGTTTGACTAGTCTACTGTGCAAAGTTAATTTTTATTTGCAGGATATTCCGCCTAGTACCCAATTTCATCAACCCAATGATGTGTCTAAAAATTAAATAATTAATCTAAACTTTTGATTATGTCAAAATGAGCTTATACATGCATGAAGAAATGAACATGCTAACATAATGTCCTTTATTAGAGCATCTCCAACAGAAGATGCAAAATGCCCTGAATTTTTTCTTAGATAGAAAGCTCTTCAATGGCGGATGAGATTCCAAATTTTCATCTCTCTATTTGAGATGCTCTTAAATAATAGATGGGGATCTTTAATACCTTAACACATTCTCCTCCTATCGGAATGCAATGCATAGACTGATCACAGCCAGTTTTTTAGAGACCTTGGATGATTCTGGAGCCCCAAAGTGAGATGGTTATATTGCAAGAGTTAGGGGAAGTGAGCAAAACTGGACCCCCAAAGTGTCATCTAGTTCCAACGTAGATGACCATAACTTCTTTCCCAAAATGAAAACCACAAACTGAACATCTCAGTCACCGGGCCTTTACCTTGGCTTGAGGTCGGTCCTAAACAATGGCGGAGCCAGAAATTTTTTACCGGATGGACTGGTTTAAAGATTTAAATCTTTATAAACAAAGAAACTTGATACTGTATTTTTCACAATATCACTTAGCTTAAGAAAAATTTCACAAGGTGAGCCAGGAATATTTGTTATCAAACAAATAAGTGTTAAGATTCAAACAAATCCAAGTGAAGAGAAAAGGATGTAAGAAAAAAAAGATCGTTTGTAAACTATATTACGTAATTTTATATAATAAAGTGAGATAATTCGGATCAGTAACTAAATATATTGCGGGCTACATTCGAAAATCAATAGAAATTACTTATAAAATTTCAATTTTCACTGAAAGCTACCTGGGCTATAGCCTAGGGTAGCCCTTAACGTGGCTCCGCCAATGGTCCTAAACCTTTTGGAACGTAACTTTCATAGACAATTTCCAGTCCTAAAGTCATAATGTTGGAACTGAAACCTTGGATTCTAATCTGACTCACTTAAAAAATCGCCACCACGCCTTCTATACCGTGCGAAGAGGAGGATTACTACTTTAGCCAACTTGACTTAACCAAATTTTCAGTTATATGCATCAATTAATTATCGATATAACAATATCATGACACAAAATGTCCTTCCATTTTTTTTTTTTTTTTTAAATATAGAAAGTATCCCACCACAAATTAATGGTGGACTAATCCCTCTCTCCATGTCGGCCTGGTTCCACATGAGACGTACATTTGTCTCGGAAGTCAAATGTACGCCAAAGCAAAGGTAGAATTGGAGGTTCGACGCTGAATTAGGTGTTCCAAACCTTTGCACACTTTCAACTCGACGCCCTTAGGGTCAAGTAGAACGTGAGGAAAAAAAATTGTTAATTGAAAGGTCGTGATTGCTATCTAAACCATTTTGTTTCACCAAGCCCAAATAAATTGTATGTACACTTAGGCCCACGGGAGGAGTTTCCATGGCTCACACACAGAAACCATCTTCAACTACACATTTTACAAACCTAAATACCCAGGGCGAAAATATAATAGCAAAACTATCATTCTTGGCAATTTAAAATTGATGTAATTGCACAATTTTGAACTATAAAATTGTAAGCAATCAACATCCACATCCACATTTCGGAACCGCTCCTAGCACAAAAAAACTTACATGACACGAGTAGTAGTGCACAACCAACATGACTTTGTGCCATGTAAGTTGATGAGTCGATATTATACTATATATTTTACCTTAATTTTAGTATTAATTTATTAGTTATTTTCGTAGAATTTTGATACTTTGTTATATATTTTCAATATAGGACATTCGACTTCATCTGAAGCAAAAAGTGATCAAACGGATGAATTTTGAAGTGATTCTAATTGGAAGATGTTTGTGTGCCTTTCAAGATGATTGTGTCAAAATTCTAGATTTTTCTACCAAGTCGTTTGACCGTGACGATGAAATAAAGGTCCAGCGCGCAGCTTTCCCAGATTAACGTTTTTGGATGTTTTGGGTATTTTGGAGGTCAAGATGACATATTTTGAGGAAGATTCCTTCTAAGGATTTGTAGGGACGTCTTCAGCTTTCAAAAGAGACATTTTGGGACCAAATCGGAGTTGATTTGGTCGGTCAAAAATGTGATTTTCTGAGAACTCCGAATTCTAGTTCAAATAGGAAACCTTTTATTTTCTGTTTTATCATTTAATTATGTTTCCTAGTTTTATTCTAACACCTTTCCAAGGTAGGGTTTTATTTTCTAGTAGTATAAATAAAGCTTGTTAGCCATTAGGATTCTCTACGCAACAAACAAAGGGGGGAGAATGCAATACTTTGGCTTTAGAGAGCTATTCAAGTTTATTTTCAAAATGTTTTCTATCTATGTTTTTAATAATATTTTGTTTTATGGTTGTTAGTAACTAGTTTTGTTTGCTAGGGCAAGGCCACGAGCCTTAGCAAGAATATGTAGTTTTTTTTCAATTTACTTATGATATTATGCATGCAAGTTTTGAATTATTAATCATTGTGCTTTAAACTATCTATTTGTCTTGATGATTGGTCACCATTAGGATATTTAGAAAAGTAATTTGATGCAATTTTGGCGGAGGACTGTTCCTAAAATTAGCGCTGGCTTATTGTGGTTAATATGTGTAACTTTTTAAGATGGACAACACATCTTAAGGGTTGTACGGCTTTTCAAAAGGTTTTCACAAAACTTAATGAGTCTTGCATGTTCACATTCGATCTGGATGCGACGAGTTGCATGTTAGATATACGTTCTATATTGGAGGTTCCAAGTAGGGCATACTTTAGGAAAACCTAACTTTCGAAATATGCATGTCTAATTCATAAAGAATTAGAACTACGTAAGATTGTTAGGATGACGATTGAACCCTAGGTTTTACAAATTGACTTTCATTAAATTGTTCTCTAGTTAATTTCTTTAATTGTTTTATTTTAAAATTTATTTTTATTATATTAATTCTAGAATCAACATTTTTCAAACTTTGTTTTTAATAATTAATTAAGAGTTGGTTTTAAACATAAATTATTCATTCAATCCCTATAGAAAACGACCTTGCTTGAGTTGCTATACTACGACAATCTTGTACTCTTGCAAGTATTTTTAAGTATTTTTATCCCTACTTTTGCAGGTGGTAAAATACCCATCATAAGTCATCCTTCCACTGCATTTCATAGCCAACAATAACCTTGCTACAGCCTACAGAAATAATAAAGGGCACCAAAACCTAGGCAACCATTCTTGGTGGCCATAAAGATGGCAAACATAGGTACTGAGAGAAACAGCAAAACTCAAATCCATTTTGATCCAATCATATTTTACTCAACACGAGTATAAGGCAAAAAATGAGCATTATAGAAAGAATTCAAGAACCGTTGTAGAGAAAGCAGCTTATTGCAATCAAACGTATTAAAGTTGAAAGTTGGATCACACATTATTATTGGAAAACCGACTCCCAGAATATGACAACCATGAAGTAAGTCTCAATTTCGATCCTCAAATGGCCAACAATTTGGAAAAGCTTCTAGGACAGAACACAATCTTTCCTTAGGTATTGAAACATCTATCATAAACAATGCTAACATTTCATCCCAAGACTCGTTCCAACAGAGAAATAGCTACAAGAAGCAATAACATACTTATGGAATGGTGCGCTGATAGAGTGGCAAAGCTCCCAAAGCCTCACGCTCTTCTCTCTCCCTCTTGACCTGCAGACATATGCATAATTAAGCAGTTTGTGACAAATAACGTACCTAACATATTAAGCAGTAGAACATTCATCAATTTCAAATCAATCTCTATATTGGTTATTCAATGTCTTCTGTCAAGGGCATGTCAGAGAACAGAAACCATAACAAAAAGGGAAACTGATGTTTTTTTCCATCGCCAAGTTACACACATGTAGCAAATTAGCAAAAAACATGTACAAAAATACCCTTCATGTAAACAAATGAAAATGTGATACACAAAGTACTCTTCCCCATCAACTTGTTTCAAAAAATAAAGAGTCACTGGAAATTTTATGTTTTCGTTAGACAATCAAACACAGTTGGTATATAGGACTTAGGAGCTTCATGGATGATGATACAAACACAAGCTGAAGCAACCAAGAAATAATTGTAGTGAAGGAGAAAATGAACGGTACTTACCAGAGCCAGCATTTCCTGAAGGTAGCTCCTGAATGGTGTTTGCTGTGCCTGCAAAATAGCAAAACAAAGGCAGTTGTTTACAATGCCATTTCAACAGCATACAAAAATACGGTGAACACGAACTTTACAATATGCATTGGAAAACACATTCAAACACAAGACTCTACGCACACTACTACAATATGCATACAAATTCACAAAAATGATAGAATTGTTAACATAACCATTCGAAATACACAATCTTTGCTTAACATTATATCATTCATGATTCTGTTTTGAGTCGTATTAAATCATTATCGATCATAAAAATGCAAAATTGGAATCAAATTTCTCATAAGACAATCCGGTACCAATCAAATTAGGGATTCGATTCTTGAAACGAAATTAATAAGTGAAATGAAAAGAGGTAAAAGCAAAAGGCACCTGAAGATGCTCGGGGAGGTATTCGTGCTTCATGGAGAGGTCCATGGCGCGCTTCAGGCGCTGGTTACGAGCGTCCACAATCTCCCTCGGCAGACGACTCAGAGCCTCCTTTATGTCCAAATCGTAGTAGGGATCGTACAGATCGTCGTATCGAAGCCCTAAATTTTCATTACCAATTTAGCATAGTTCAAATCTAATCCAATAAAATCGGTCTATACATACACAGATACATATAGAGAGAGAGAAAGAAGATAGGGTTTGTGAAAGAGGAGGTGTACCGTAATGGCGGAGGCGTTGGGAGACGGCCTTCATGTGCTGGCGGGCGAACCAGTTCTTCCTTGGATCCACCAAAGATTTCAGCAACGATGCCATTTTTGCCTTCTCCCTCTCTTGCTCTCTATCTCTTTCTCTCTCTAGGCTGAGTTTCTGGACGAATCGTCTAGTTTCTGAGGGCTGCGATGTTGTGGTGGCTATGGCTATGATGACTCCAGAGTTGACACGTCGTCGTTTTGGGTCGGGTCCTAAATCGGGTCGTTTTATGGGCCACCGAATAAGCCTATTGGGTCATGCAAGGATATTGGGTCTCAGGAATGGTGTATGTATACATCACAACAGAATGGTGTAGCGAGACGGAAGAATAGAACTTTCACCTAGTAAATTCTAGGGCTGGGCCCAATTTTGGACGAACTGGATCGTACCCGTTTTAAACAATATCGAGGCGGGTCGAATTAGGTAAAAGGATTTTGAGTTTGGGAATCGGACCTAACCCAGCTCGTTTGAAACGGGGTAGTTCGGGACAAGTTTAATTACTCTTTTTTTTTTTTTTTTTGATACAGAGCTCCAAAACGTTCCACTGTTCCAAATTGCTCCCTTTACTCACACCAACAGTTGAATGGTGGTGAATCGGTGAAGGTGGTGGTCCCCGTCTCTCTTGCTTATCTCTCCCAATCCCAAATCAAGGTCTTTGTCTCTCGACTCCGATTAACGACGATGGCGCGAGGCGAGGAGATAATCTGGGTAGAGTTTCCTCAGTGTCATCAAATAACACTCTGGCCAAAACTGGTATATCATACTGGTACGCTCTTTCTCACTCTGGATTGCTCAGATTTTCAGCTATAGATGTAGTCGTTTAGGACACTCTGCTCCTCCACTGCCTTCCTGCGAGAGTCGTTACACTCCGGTTCTCTGTGCCCAACCTACCTTTAAGACCAATTCTCTTCTATTTATGGCCTGCCCCATCCACCAGATTAGGCACCAACAACAGCCACTCGCATCGGAAGTGGGAACACTAGGAGGGTGGTTTCTTTGGGCTACCGCACAGTGATGAGAATATTTCGTCAAACTGGTTTGCGGCACTGCAAAAGAACAAGGAATATGCTGGCCCCTTTGCAATCGCAGGGATTATCGACAACAATTCTGGGACATTCCCTGACCCTGCTGAGCCCCTTGACACCTTGGTCTCCCACGACTAAGAATTGCAAGCTGGCATTTCCCCATCTGCACAATTGCTCTCGAGTTCGGATTATGGCCACATGTGGCACCTCGACAACTTTGGGACCCTGTTTACTAATGGAACCTTAACCATTGTTGTGAATGGGCTATCGCTCGGTAAGGATTAGGTCAACCCAAAACGTCTTCCCTTGTGGGATCTTCTAAATTATTCGGGCCTTCTCCAAGCTGCTGAGGAGGTTAGGGCCATTTCAACAAAATTTACTCTTTTGGACTATTTCCCTTTTAAAACCAAATTGCAAGATTTGGATGCCTTATCCATCAAGGCCGCGTCACACATTATCAGGCAATTCAACGGTGTGGACCCAAATGTGGAGCCTTATGTTGCTCCAGGTAAAAAACTCAAATCATCTCCTAACCTTCGACGTGGCAGCACACCTAATAGGCGTGGCTCCCTACCTCATGAGACTAGATGTGATGGTGGAAAAGTAACCCGATCTTTGGCACAGTGCACTTTGCCGAATAGGGATATCCAAAATGAAATCTTGAGTGATGTCACCATTAGACCTTTAAGAGACTTGGCTGAGGCGGAAGCAAGATGAATGCTTAACAGGAAATGAAGTTCATCGTTCTCGATATCGGCGGAGGCTAATGGGTGTCAGTCTCCCCATCAGCTATGAAAATCTTAGCTTGAAACCGTCAGAGGCTTGGGAAGCTTTTGAAAGTCCAAGCTTTGCATGATCTAATATGACAACAAGGACCCACTTTGGTTTTCTTGTGTGAAACCAAAGCTAATATTGAGGCTGTCTCTATTCTGAAGTTAAAATTGGGGTTTGATAAATTTTTCGATGTCCTATCTCTTGGTTAATCAAGTGGTTTATGTTTATTTTGGGTTAATGAACTTAATCTGTAAATTCTCGGGTCATTTGATAGATATATTGATTTAGAGTTTGGCGGAATTGGATATAATCGTCATTGGCGATTCACGAGTTTTTACAGGTACTTGGCAACAGAGGACCACCACCTATCTTAGAACCTCTTTCAGTCTCTTGCCATTGCTAACTTGCTCCATTGGGTTGTTGGCGGTGATTTCAATGAACTTTTCCAGCTCAATGAGAAAGTTAAGGGCTCGAATCAACCCATAAATCAAATTCTTAGGTTTAGGGAGGCAGTTAGTGACTGCAACCTCCATGATCTTGGTTTTGATGGTCCTTCATTTACGTGGGTCATCACCAGAGGTGGTGGTATAAAAGAAAAACTGGACCGTTTTCTCGCCTCCACCACCTGGAATGATCTGTTCATCGGTGCTAGGGTTTCCCATCTCGACCCCTCCAAATCTAACCATGTGCCCCTTACTTTATCATTTGATGGTACTCGGGCCAATTGACAGAGCTTTCTTTTTAACTTCCTCTTTGAGGAATTTGGGTTAACCATGATGAATGTGAGGATGTTATCCATTCAGCATGGAACCAATCGTTCAATGGGGTACCCATGTTTTGGGTTGTTCAGAAAATTAGAGCTACTCATGTTACACTCCTGAAATGGAGCCAGTCCGTGTTCAAAGTTTGACAAACTGAAATGGTCACTATTTTCTCTAAGCTAGGTGTCTTGTTCTTTTAACCATTCTCTGCGACTGCCATTGAAGAAAGAAACAATCTTATGCTCCGACTTGACAGCTTACTTAGGAAAGAGGAATCTTACTAGAGACAAACATCTGGGTCCAATGGTTTCATGATGGCGATCGAAACATAACTTTCTTCAGTTACTGGGCTTGCAATCGTAAGACCAAAAATCGAATTAATAGCTTGTGTGATTGACATGGTAATTGGGTTTCGGGGGATTCTGCCATCGATGTCACTATTCTTAACTACTTTGGTGATTTGTTCTCCTCTATGGATGGGGGGAACCCAGAATCAATCCTCAATTTAATCGAGCCACAAGTATCCCCTAAGATGAACCACTCACTGAGCATGGATTTCAAGGGCGAGGAGGTGAGAGCGACTATTTTCCAAATGTCTCATTCCACTGCTCCGGGGCCCGACGGAATAAATCATTTCTTCTATCAACAGTTTTGGCACATAGTTAGAGCTAATGTCTTGGCTACTGTCATCTCTTTTCTGTCTTCTAGAAAACTCCTCAAGCAAATCAATTTTACCATGGTATCGCTGATTCCGAAGGAGAATAACCCGAGGGATATGTCACAACTTCATACTTACTTCGGAGCTTTCTAATTACTTGTTCAAATGGCGGAGAGGTAACAATGGTTTCTTGTCTCTCAAGTTGAATATTAGTAAATCATATGATCACATTGAGTGGGCATACCTCAAAGGTGTCTGTAGACATCGAAATTTCAGTAAAACAAATGTTCACCAATGCATTAAAGTTTTGACGTGTCAAGGCATACATGGCATACGCCACGTGTTGTACAAATTGTACACATGGCGTGTGACTCAACAAAATAGGAAGAAATACCCTTGAAGGATTAAACAAGTTTTTTCTTCTCATTTTGGGCAATGACAAGGCAAGTACATTTCAATCCATTGAGGATCAAAACAAGTTTTTCTTCTCATGTTGGGCAATGACAAGGCAAGCACACTTCAATCCATTACGGATCAAAGCAAGTTTTTCTCATTTGGGCAATGACAAAGCATACACATTTCAAGTTTAAAATGGTGTTAAGTGGGAAATTAGGCCATAAGTTACACCACTTCAAGTTTAAAATGGTATTAAGTGGGAAATTAGGCCAGAAGTTACACCACTTCAATTTCAATATTGCATTAAGTGGGAAAATTAGGCAATGGTGCTTGGAAAGGAAAAAAATATTTTTGTGGTGGTGATTCATTCTCAAAGCCTATAAATAGGCTTCTCCATCAAGGTATCAAGCATCAAAGAATTCACAAATACATTTCTCTACTCCAAAATTAGAAGAGGAATTCCCCAAATCCTTGAAGCTTTGAAACTCCAAAGCTTCCAACCATCCAAATTCCCAAGAATTCCGAAGGATCAAGAAAGCTCTCTTCGTTCTTCGTTAAATCCTCTTTCAAGATCAAGCCCCGACGGCCCTTGAAGAAAGTGTTCATCCGTTCATCCTAAGCATAAGCCCCCAACGGCCCTTTGGATCAACAACCTCAACAAATCCACACATCCAATCGTTCTTCAAGATTAAGCCCAAAAGCCCTTGAAGATCCGCTCATCCATCAACCTTTAAGATCAAGCCCAAAAGCCCTTGAAGAAATCCACACAACCATTATTCAAGATCAAGCCCTAACGGCCCTTGAAGAAAGCGTTCATCATTCATCATCCGTTCATCCTAAGCTCAAGTCCCAACGGCCCTTTGGATCAACAACCTCAACAAATCCACACATCCAATCGTTCTTCAAGATTAAGCCCAAAAGCCCTTGAAGATCCGCTCATTCATCAACCTTCAAGATCAAGCCCCGAAGGCCCTTGAAAAAACTTCCATCAACCTTCAAGATCAAAGCCACGAAGGCCCTTGAAGAAACTTACAACTGTTCATCCAAGATCAAGCATCGACGGCCCTTGGATCAACAAATCTACATCTTACGGAGATAGAATCAGAGGATCAAATTACAAAGAGATCGTAACCCCAAAATCATTAAACACAAAAAATATTATTTTGTACACGTTATTCTTGTTTCTTGTTTCAAGGAATCTTTCGTGTTCACAAATTTGGCACGCCCGGTGGGACATTTCTACCTCTCATCTCTATCCTCAAATCATCGAAAAACGCAAATGGCATCAAGAAAGGATCAAGCTGTTCCTGCAATCAAAGTAAAGAACAAGAACATCATCGCCGCAAGTGGTGATATTTCGGGCACCATAACCCAAAGTAAGGCAATAGCTCTTTTTGCCGCGGCTTCCACCCCTGCATTAACTCTGTCAAAGGAACAAGAGCACCTGAGGCATGAGCCTGTGATCACCCTAGCCTCGCTAAGGGCATCAAGAGGGGAAAGCCTGAGGAAATACTCAGAGTCCCTACTCTCCGACGCTGATTCGAG